GTATTGATTTTTAGAAGCTCTAGAGAGTATGAGCCCAAGCATTTAAAAAAATTGTTCTAAATTTTAAGAAAATACTTTCTTAATTTTCATTGTTTTATTCTTGCTATCTATATAAATAAGATGAATTTTGACAAATTTTCTTGTTTTGAATGAATTTATTTTGTCATGAAGGATGTTGCCAGTGATACGGTACACAATTTTCCTGGCTAGAAGTACGTACTAGCCAACTTCATTAATTTACGCTGGGGCAGTAACTGTTAGCCATTGAAGCAGAAGACTGCATTTCATCATCTGCCACTATTGATCACAGTGTCTAAAGGGGATATCTTTAGTCTATTTTAGTTATGTTACTACTACTGGTCCAGAGATAATGTTTAATCATTAGATTTCTGTCACCACTGATGTTTCTTTGAATAATTGTTTTGTTTTTTAATTGACACGTAGGTCCTGAAGAGAAAAGTCAACTATGTAAGGCTCATCACACTGTTACATTCAACACTGATGGTGACTCTGTCCATGTACATAACAAGGTAAGTCTTCTTGAACTGAACCAAATTTTTCTTTATCTCATGAGTAATGATCAGCTCATTACTTAATTGTGTGTTACGAGTTTATTAAAGATTCAACAACTCTTTTATTGCTATTCACTTAAAAATAAGAATAGCTTTTAACATTGGTTGAAAAAAGTAAGGTCCCTGTAACAGTTATAAATGAAGAAAATGCATATAATTTTTAGTGATGATGCATTTACATTACATTAAGTTGCAGCATTATTGGGAAATATTTACTTAAACTATTCCCTTACTTTGAGGATATTCTAAAAATATATTTCAATTCTACTAAAAATCTGTAGTCCCTAAAAAGATATATAGTTTGCTTTGAAAACTCAAGAAAACATTAAGAAACTGGAACAGAAACAAAATAGAGCAGTGAGATTCATAACAAACAAATATTCATATTTCACTAGAGTAAACCTTTAGTAAAATCACTAAATTTAGAAAGCTCTCAGGGTAGAAGACTTAAAAGTAAAGTAACAATTATACATAAAACACTGAACCATAATCTTCAATTACAAAAACAAAACTTAATAAAATACTCAGAAAGACATAAAGATAAAGGCACATTCCTTGTTCCATTTACTAGGACAAATTTGTATAAATGCTCCTTCTTCCCTAGTGCTATTAGAGCATGGAATGTGTTGCCTGAGCCAGCCAGGAAAACCAATGAGTTGGCAGAATTTAAGTTATTGGTTAACTTGCATGATGCGTAGTATGTTATCATCATCTTTTTTGAAGTAACATTTGTATTTAATATGATAAGATAAAATCTCAAAGATAGACTAATGTCTGATTTTAAGTTATTTAAAATTAGCTTTTAAAAATTGATTTCTAAATATGAATAGAGAAAGAAAATAACTAAATGGTCACAAGATGGCCTTAATAATGCAGATGTGCCATTAATTATTAAACTAATTCTATTAGAAAATAAATAGTAATGAGATCATTATTCACTATTAAGGTGTCAAAGTCCTGATTTACTGTAGTTTTCATAAATAGAGTTAGAAGCTTTTAGGGCTGAACAAATTCTGAATATATATGGCATGTTCTATTATTATAGGTTACATTTTTTTCACATCTGTTCAGTGTAGTATTCTATAATTTTTATACATATTTAGTCATAATTTCCTAATCCATAACTCCTTCAGGGCTGCATGTGTTAATTAAGAGCTCTGTTTGACCATTGGATCATTCTATTGATTGTGTCCAGTGTATATACGTGGTATAGAAGCTACTCAGTGATCTAAAGAAAACCTTACTTTAGAGCTTTTGGTTATCATTAATGTTTTCCAGCATATCCATACACTTAGTTAAAATACTGTTATTTTATTACAGAGTGGGCAACCATGTCACTTTGTAGTCATTTCTGGACAGCCAATCAGAGAGCCTGTTGTACAACATGGTAAGAAGAATTACATTCTCTCCCCTCCATTTACACACATTGAAAGTTACAGGCTGCATAATACAGAACTATGAACTGCTTTAGTAGAATACATCAAAGGAAGAACATGTTCATGGGTAGTGGATTTAAACTGTCAATGATGGAATGATATGGCAGATACAAAGACTACCAACCTTTGATTTCCATCTATAAAATGTTGGTTATTATAAAAGCTATTTGCACTATGGGATGATTTTAAAAAGAAATCCAAGCCTTTACAGGATTTAGTTAGATAGCCTCAACTGAACTGCTCTTCACCATGCCCATGGTGCAATATGAATCACAAGAGCAGTTGTATTATAATCAGCTGATGAGTAGCAAAAGAGAGTTATCTTCCTTTTGTAAAACAAATGCATGATTCTTGTTGGTTGGTTCTCAAGACTTATAGGTTAATGACTCAATCTTCTTCAAGCTGTTCTGGGTTCTGCGTCTAACATTATGCAGACACATTTAATCACCACACAATTAAAATATAAGATTGATATTAAAAAAAATGTATACATCTTCCAAAGGGGTAACTATGAGGGCTTGAAAATTTAGATTCTTTAAATTCTTAAACTCTTTAATGCTATGCAAGAAATCAGAAGTTCCATCATATTATGCTATAAACTTTTTACATGTTCAGGTCCATTTGTGATGACAACACAAGAAGAAATTAGACAGGCTTTCAATGACTACAGAAGCAGTAAAAATGGATTTGAAAATGCAGCGACCTGGAACTCTGAATATACTAGATAATAAACAAGTTTAAATAAAATTAATATTTTGTTTTTGTGTTACAACTTCAATAGTTGCTTGTTATAACTTGTTAGATAGATCTTACCAGGGATAGATCACTTTTGGCTCCATTTAGAATAACTTGTTAACTTAGTTTTAAAATATATATATATTACTGTTAAAATATATACATGTAACATTGCTCTATTTTATACTGGAGGTTCTAGTGAAACTTACTGTTTTGATTAATATTATTATATAGCCTTTTCATTTGGCCAAGTATAAAAACAGACCAGCTAGTTTATCAATGCACAGTTTAATCTTTTTCCTCATTACATCTTTTATTTTATTTATTTTTTTTGAGTGAATGTTTCAAACTTCAATCTAATATTAGTTATCGTTACAAACTTCAATCTTATGTGAGCCATTATTTCAAACTTCAATCTAATATTAGTTATCATTACAAACTTCAATCTTATGTGAGCCATTGTTTCAAACTTCAATCTTATGTGAGCCATTGTTACAAACTTCAATCTTATGTAAGCCATTGTTACAAACTTCAATCTAATGTGAGCCATATAGCAGTTATTAATTTTTCTGAATGAGTAACTGCATATAAGTGTGTATTTGCCTAAGCTAAGTAGAAAGTCTTAGTTCATTGTTTTGTCTATGTAGGTTAGGGTTATCTGCACTATTTAAAGCATATCTTATAACTGACTTTTAATTGACATGTGATGTGCTTCCATGTCTTATGAAATACAGACACTACTGCAAAAAAAAAAAAAAGATGATTATCTCTTATGCGTCTAGTCATGCATGTTAATCATTGACAAATTGGGCCAAGTCATTGGTTTTCCTGGCTGACTCAGCCAACACATTCCATGCTCTAATAGCAATAAATATTTTGTATAGACATTTCAAAAAATCTATTGCCAGGTTTAAGAGCAAAAATAAATTAATAAATAATAATTAATAAATTAGTGTGTGTGTTAGTGATCTCATTGAATGTGTTCTAATGCAATGCTTGCTTACTATATATTAAGTTTCTAATTAAGTTCAATATATTCAATTTGTACAAAAGTAAAGTTTCCCTTTCAAACCTTGGGATCTATGGGGCAGATGATGTTTATGGCCAACTGTTACCGAGCAGGTTTTCATGTGACCAGCATAATGATTTTTTTACTTTCCCCAACTAAAGTCAGGTACCCATTAGAGTTGGGTGGTCTCAGGGGTGCCCTAAAAATCCCAAAATTCAAAATCCCAGTTTTCACTGAGATTTGAACTCAGAACCCCAGGTTCAGAAGCCAGCCGCTTGACAACTCAGCGCCCTCTCATTTTTACAAGTTTGATGATAATGTTGTTTTTTTAAAATTATGAGCTCAAATAGAGTAATTTATTCATTTTTTTTTTTAATTCTGTGATGGTTAAAAAAAAAGTTTTACAATGCACAAACTATATCCCGAGTATTTTATACCAATTTTAATGTTCAACTTATTTTGAGAAATTCCTTTTGTTTTTTTCTGTCTTTTATATTTAGCTACATGTATTAGGTGTGGGTGATTGTTCAAATAAGTGGTAGTGAATTTCAAGGGTTTTTCTTCTTTACCATTACTTAAAGGGAAAAACTGTTACAAAAATAACTTGGACCTATTGTAAAGAGACTTTTTCTTGATATTTCATTATTACATTACTGCATTATGTTGTGTATGTTGACCTCTGTTCAAGATTTAGTGTATATTATAGATGTAACTATAGTGTGTGACAAATAATTGGTCTATTACATTCAATAGAATGAATGTTGCATTAGACCAAGCAAAGTTAATTTTCCTTTGAAACCTATATTTTTTAAAAAAGTCAAGTTCCCCTTTCAGACCTTGTGGTTTATAGGGCAGATGATAATAAAGGTCATCTGTTTCTGTGGCCTACGGTTAACGAGGGTGTCATGTGGCCAGCACAACCAACCGCCTTTACTTTTACCTAACTAATCTACTAATCTTATGTAACCATTAGAGCTGGGTGTTCTCGGAGGTACCCAAAGATCCCCAAATTAAAATCCCAGTCTTCACCAGGATTCAAACCCCGGACCTTGGTTCGGAAGACAAGCGCTTTACCGCTCTGCCACCACGCCTAGATCTAGTAAGCTGCTTAATTATTTTTGTTTCATTTGTAACACTGCACAGAATATAAAGAAGAAACATTTATTCACAAGTTTTTGTCACTGAAAATTCAACTGTTTCAACTTTTAAGTCACTTGAAAAAAAAAATCTTTAAATATCTCCTATGATCCCCCCCCCCCCCCAAAAAAAAACGATGAATTCATTTGATTGACCCCTAGATCTTAGTAAAGAATGTGTGTCCATTGATAATATAATTAAATATGTGTTTGTTCTTTCTTAAATATTGTATGTTGGCAAGTGTATTTTTTGTTTTGTTTAATAACATAACATCATCATTTAATAGCTTGTATTTTTAATGACTGAATATAAATCTAGTGTAGATTCTTTTTCTTTCCTATTCTGTGTTATCAACTCATGTTTCTGGGTTCATAGTTAAGTCTGAACAAATAGTGAAATGTCAGAAACTCTGAGCACTGCTTCAATTTTCCTGGACATCTGTAGCACTACAGTGATAAGTCATTGTACTGGCCACACACTCTCATGTTCCTTTATATATACAGAAACTTTACTTCAACACTAAATGTGTAAAAAAAAAAAAAAAAAAAAGGTTAATGACAATAATTGTATCATACGGACAATAAAGATTATTATTATTTAAATCAAAACTATGTTTTCATAAATGTTGAGATATTTGTATAGGCTTATATCTACTTCTGTAAGTGTGTGTGTGTGTGTGTGTAAATTGTATATATTTTGTGATTTTGAATTATTATTATTTTATTTCCAATTAGCCTAATTATGAAGATAATATACACAAATTCAGTGTAAATAGATTCTGTTTGTTGTATTGTTTTCTACATCAGGCAAAAATGTAATAAAAAAATATGTTAAGTCAAAGTGTTGATGCCTTTAAAATTTATTCTTGTGTTTGGTTCTGCTTTTATGAATCTTATAGAGATTATACTATTAAAGTTAAAAGTATTCAGTTAGAAATGAACTACAGTTCGGCCTAAAATTGTGCCGATGTGCCTAAAACCAAAACCACAAACTCTACAGATTTATATAAATATTGGGGTGTATGGGGTATCTAGGAGGGGTAGCACCTCTAGTGGAAAGGCAGTCGTACCCTCTTCTTGAGGGTCGACACTATTGGTACCCAACTCTCACCTGAGGCTCCCAGAAGCTGTAGCATGCGCAGCGGCCACACGGAAACGGCTTTGACAGGCCGACTAAACCAGGTAGAGGGTATCTGACGTGTCTGTGACACTCAGTAAACTGAGGTTCTGTCAAACCTAGCATGTGAAGTCTGGACTTTGCGTGGCACTCAGTAAACTGAGGTTCTGTCAAACCAAGCATGTGAAGCCTGGACTTGGCGGCCTGTGCGAAACGTCACAAAACTAGACCGACCGGACAGTAAGGCAAATACCAGCACCGTGCTGTGGAGCACTCAAGAGCAGGATAAGACACACAGAAAGTCTCTGGTCATCCACTGCACCCAATCTCGTCCCCGGATGTCTTGACCAAATCTTGCTTCCGGAAAAGGATGGGCTTTAGGGCGAGAGAGTGAGGTCGACGTGTTCCGCTAATCCTCCTCACTTAAATCAAAATTCCAGCCAAAGTCAGTCATCCACCCTCCCCCCCCCCCCCAAAAAAAAACGCTTCAGGGACACCCTCAAAGCTTCTCTAAAGGCCTTCAGCATAGGCCCAGCTACCTGGGAGACAGAGGCACATGACAGAGCATCATGGCGTCGCGCTGTGAAAACTGGCGCACAGGTTGCTGAGGAAAAGAGAACAACGCTGGCAGAAGAAAAACGCCAGATAAGAAAAGCAAGGCCAATGACACTAGCTCCAGCTGGAATAACCTGCCCAGTGTGCAGCCAAGCATTCCGGGCTCACATAGGTCCCACCAGCCACATGAGGAGGCATAAAACCTCAGTGCAAAGCCCTCAGCCTCCTGGATGACAAAAGTGGTCATCATCGAAAAGAGAAGAGAATGCCCATGGGTTCTAAAACCATAAGACTAATTTAAAAAAGAAAGAATATATAAAAATTACAATCCCAATAAGAGGAGAAATGGACCACCAGTGGGGAGAAATAACATAGTCGTTAACATTCGCACTTTCGACAGCATCCATTCTGACATCAATACCTTCATCACTACTGTTGTCTATCATCAGTCATGTCAGTATCAAATAGTTTATTTTTTACACTAGATTTCTTCCTAGATTTAGCGCAATGCTTTAATTTTATTTTCTCCATCATTGGTGATGATGTCGCGATCATACATTTTCCACTTTTTTCCCCTCTGTTGGTTTGCTTGCGAGGAGCAGCTTAATTTAGGATAGCCTGCAAATATATTTCAGGTGAAGCTGCCCTGCGTTATAGACCACCTATTCAATGGCTGGAGAAGACTGGCTTTTCTTTGGATTTATGAGACGCCATCCAGAACTTTCAATCAGACTCCTCTGTGATCCGTGTAGTCTAACGTCTCCTGGATGTGTGTAACTCCAAATAATTTACAAGTTACTGGTGTGTAGAATCTGTCTATTCTTGTCTCCACCGGGTATGAGCTATGTTTCATAGTAGTTTCCCTTCCCTCTGGCCGTACCGCTCTATATGCGTCGACCAAGCGGAAGGCTCCTTTGATTTCTTTTAAGAAATCATAAGTTTCCCCAGTTGACCGAGGGAGTGGACCCTGTGTGTTTGTGTATTGCTTGTCTAAATGTGTTTCTATGTAGTTAGAGTCTCCCCCCAAAATTAGTCTTTCCCCTATGTGTCTGCTTCGCTTAGAGTTTCGAAAAAGTGTGGTCTCTCTCTACTCTGGGTCGGAGCGTATATATTAATAAGTGTGTATGCTTGTTTGTGTGCTACTACCTTGACTATGACCCCCTCCCACTATTATCACAATGTGCATATGTTACTTTAAATCTATCAGATGTCTGTAGAATAACTACTCCCTTTCCTTTCTCCACTAAATTGAATCCTAAAAAAAATAAATTTAAAAACACAACTGTCTGCACAATATAAATATTTAAGAAAATGCAGTTTACAAGATTACTATTCGTTTAAAATTAGGTCTAACTTATAATGCATACTAAATAGCTTTTTCTCTTTAAAAAACTGCTTGCATAATTGATTTAAAAAATTAGATTTTTCGCTTTCAGAAAAAAAAAAGTAGCCGTTGCATCTGAACTTTGAATGGTCTAAAATATTGTGAGGTCGGATTTTCGTTATCTTTTCTAGTTTACGAGATCTAAACGGGACGGACGGACAGACATTTCACACAAAACTAATAGCGTCTTTTCCCCTTTCGGGGGCCGCTAAAAAATTGTAAAAGTGCGTTACCTTCAGAGATTTCAAACAATTACAATGTGTAGTTTTACTAAGAAAGTGTGTCCTTAGTTTGATGCTTCCACCATCTGAAGGCCCGTACATACCTTGTTTCGCCATTGGCCTACGGTAGTGTGTTGTCTAATGTGTGCGACAGACTGACATCAGCGATAGTCGGTTGTTCATTCTTTATTTCATCTTTCAAATTTTTTTTAGTTTTTTATTTTCTTTCTTTCTTTTTTTTATTTTATTAAATATGCCAATGTGTGTAAGTGTGTAGGCCTATGTTGATGTGTACTGATACACTGACACTACTAGACATCTTTTTGATTATAATGTCAATATAAATAGCCAACCTGAGCAGATCTTACAACAGGTCACGTGATCTCGAACTTGTTACATTTTCACGGTCCCACATCGCTACAGCTTTTTACATCGAGGCATTTTTTTTTAAACAATAAAATTGTGTCGTAAAATATTAGAAGTCTAGATAAAGAAAAAATTTCCGATAGATGTAAAGCTAATCCTATGCTTATTAAGGATGTAGACATTATCGTTATCAATGAGGTAAGCCTACTTATTTATTATTATTCATTCATAAGTGATTAATTGAATAAATCTCCCTCTTAAGCTAGAATTTATAATAAAGTTAAGTAGACTAGTAGACATTTTCATCGAATGGATTAGACTTTTAAATTAAGATTCAACTAATAGACTTTCATTCAATATCTAGATCTATATGTCCTTCTCTATCTATTAAAGATTAGGCCTAAGCCTAAGTCACGAAGAAAATTTGCGAAGTGAAACAATAACGTAGGAAAGAAATGAAAGTTCCATAACTCTTGTCTAAATCATTAATAAGTCAGTGCAAAGCGAATTTTGAAAGTTGTCGAGGTCTCTAGATCTACTCGAATCTAGATCTATTATTTCATTTTTGTACACAAATAGAAAATGCAGATCTAGAATTTAGTTTACCTGACTAGATACGCAGAAACAGGTTTCTAGTATATTTTAAATTGATACAGCATAAAAAACATTTATTTACAGTTACATTCTTTAGGTTCGTATTCTTAGTTTTTTTTTTGTTTTTTTTTCTAGATCTAGTTCTAGTAATCATAGGAAATAATAGGATCATTTGTCACAAGTCAAGGCCAAGGTCCCCGAAGCTGCTAAGATCTTCACTTGTGTCTGAATTGGAACACTACACTGACAGACACAAGAAATTGTACTAGAGAGTCCTAGAGATCTATCTAGACTAGAACATGAAACGATCAATGTGCTCAGCAAGCTTAGTTAGGAGTATTGACAGTAATGTAAGTATACAATTACAAATGTAAATTTAAAATTAGCCTAAATGTAATTTTGTAACTTAGAATGCAATTTCACAACTTTAACCTTTAGACTTTTAGATGTGCACTTGGGCATTGGCACATGTGTGTGTGTCAATGAAATTCAACATTTTATTCAAAAACAATGAAATGATGTATGTACATAAACTTTCAATTTGATCCTCTTAGGGCTGATTTAAACATTTCTCTATTGCAATACATTTTTATCTTTAAAATTGTGTCTGTGCTCTCCAAGCACCTCAACTCTTGTCTTGGGCTTTTGTTTATCTCCTTGTTATTGCATTTTTTCCTTTGTAATTAATTGCGTCTTATCAATGCCTTTTAACATTTATACCAAAAAGCTTGATATTGGATGCTTGAAGCACCTACAATGGATTGTTCATATTCATTTTTATGTGTATGCTATCATTATACTTTTTAATGTATACCAAATGTTAATTAAAAATGTTCCTAAAATAGGAAAGCAACTAACAACTCCTACTTTTATCTTTTTATTGCATTATTTCTTTTGTAATGGATTGCTATTTTCAGGCCACTAAACATAGCAAATAATAGATGGTTGAAATTCTAACACATATCAAATATTAGGTGGTTGAAGTGTGTATGAAATACTACTTATATATATGTACTACAATTGTTTGCAAAGCCTATATCAACTTCTTAGTTCACTTTACTTTCTATCATTTGTAAATATTTTCTTAGTTATCAAATGTTATCTTTATACTTTTTAAGGTATACTAAATGCTAATTAGTAAAGTTCTTACAATAAAGAGGAATGCCACTAACAACTTCTATTTTGATCTTATCTCCAATTTATTGCATTATTTCTTTTACTATTGAATGTTATTATCAGGCCACTAAGCATATATCGAATTTTAGATGGTTGAAACACATATAAAATACTAGATGGTTGAAACACATCAAATATAA